GGGGTTGGATCAAGGGTTGGGCTGGATGATCTTGGAGGTCCCTTCCAACCCAGCTGATTCTGGGATTCCATGATTCTATGATAACAGTGCCTGTCCAATCCCAAGCGTTTCCACCCCCATAGCTTTTGCCCTGGTCCACCCCTGGCCCACCCCCTGGGAATTGGGTCTGGGGTGCTTTTTGGGACCACCTCTTCATCATCTTCACCTTCTTCAGAGCACAAAGGGTACATGGTCACCCAGTTCTTGACTGTACTCTTGCAGTTCAGGTCAGGATTTTAACACGTCTGTTTGATATCTTGTTGCTGTGCAATATTTTGGGTGTATTTTTTGGTATATATATAATTTATAAAGATACATACATAAAGATGTGTGTGTGTGGGTGAGGTTGCTCATGGCTATGAGAGAGAGACAGTGTAGACCTCGCTGATAAACAGATTTCTGCAGTGTATTGTGCTGTTTTGTGTTGTTTGCCTGGTTCTTTTTTGTTTCCAGGACAGAGAATATTTTCCAGTAAATCAAATAATAATGATATAAAAAGCAGCTGTTAGTTCATGGGGATTTTTTAATATCTCAAGGAGTGCAGAGAGAGCTCAAGTGGAACCTGAACACTATTTCAGCCTCTCATTGACACTTGCAATCCTCATTTGAGGACAAATGTACCTGTATAAAGCAACAATAATAAAGGAAACAATAATTCCCTTGCATTTGGAGCCTTTTCCTGGCCAAAATTTCACCGTGGGCTCCCTGGCTTTTGCCATCTCCTGTTAACACAGCTCTGGGGGGCTCTGATGTTGTAATCACTGCCTGGCTGCAGGATCATTCCTTCCCCCTTGGATATGAGATGGATATTGTGTAAAATCACTGCTGAGCTGTCAGGGAGGGAGGCAGAGTATCCATAGATCTCCTTGTCCTTTGGTTTCACTCCTCGAGGTAAACACATGCTTGGGAAAAGCCCAGAGTGATCCAACAAGGAGTTTTCATCCCTCTGTTGGAATCAGAGCCCTCATTAATGCTGTCCCTGGATCCTTGTTGGAATTAGACCTTTGCCAGCCCCGTTTGAGGTGGATGCAAACACTGTCAGGGCATCATTTCTGCTCGCTGCATCCCACTCCTGCAGCCTGCTCTTTGTATTCCACTCACATTAATTGAAGTAATTTTGCCACTGGAGCGTGTTTCGAACCCCCCTGCATTTAAATTGAAATTTTAATTCCCTTATTGTTTGGAAAAGGAGGCTGGAGATGGCTTGTTACAGGTTTCATTATCACTCAGAGCTCTCCAGCTGCTGGTTCTAATGTGCAGTGACTGAGTAATGCGGGGAAGGATTGTTAATAAAAGAGTGGCAGCTTCTCCCAGTCGTACAAACACAATGCAGAGGTAGTTTGTGACAGCTTACATTTGTGTGAAGTTCAAAATTTGAAGTGACAGCTCTTTTTTCTTGCTGGTTCTGCGGGCAGCCAGAGCAGCACAGCTTCAAACATCAGCTGGTCACGTTCTGTGCTCCTCCAGCATCCCGAGAACGGAGCAGAGCCAGTGGAGAGGATCAGCTTTGCTGTCCTATAATTGCAGCCTCGCAGGTTGTCTTTAAAAAGAACCTAATTCCAGCATCCTTTGAGTTGGGAAGCTTTGGAGAAATTAGGGTTGTCTGGAACAGACAAAACTCCCCTTGGAGATGGAATGTGGTTTTAGTTATTTTAGATTTCTTTCTGTGGGTTTTTCACGGTGTGAGTTGATACTGAGGTGGCTTTTCCTGAGGTGGATCTTTCACAGACTCGATCGCTGATGGAAATGTTCATTTTCATGTGGCAGTTGAGAGCACAGGCACCCATTTGGGTGTGTTTTCTGCTTAATATAAAACATAAAAAGGGGCTCAGGGGGGACCTTCTCACTCTTTCCAACTCAGCTGGTGGAGCCAGGGAGGGGTCAGGCTCTGCTCCCAGGGAACAAGGGACAGGAGGAGAGGGAACGGCCTCAGGTTGGGCCAGGGGAGGTTTAAATTGGATATTAGGGAAAATTTCTTCATGGAAAGGGCTGTCCAGCCCTGGCACAGCTGCCCAGGGCAGGGGTGGAGTCCCCATCCCTGGAGGGATTTAAAATCCATGTGGATGTGGCACTTGGGGACATGGGGCAGTGGTGGCCTTGGCAGTGCTGGGGAATGGCTGGGCTTGATCTTAGAGGGCTTATCCAAAGGGAGAACTTAATATTTGCCATTTGTTTATGCAGCCTAAGAGATAAAATGCTAAAAGCAGTTGAAGAAACATTGTTGAATCAAGTAATTAAAGGCCATATCATAATAGGATTAAATAAAAACTCCTCAGGCTACTTTCTTTGCATGTCCTGACTTCTGTGTGTCCAGCTTTGCAATTTTAATGAGCTCATACCACTTTCTCAAAATATATCAAGTTGTTGTTTTTTTTTTTAATCTTTTAAATTCTTATAGACCGTGAAACACTTACTCTGAACTTGATTTATTAGTCCAGGGATTGTGTCAGGTGAGAAAACACCATGAAACTGCAGAAATCAAGCCACAGGGTAGGAGGGAGGATAACTCCTGTTGCCAGTTGGGAATTGTTTGTTTTGTTTTGTTTAGACAACAAGAAGGAAAATAAAAGTGGAAAAAAGGAAGGATGGAGCCCTGTGACCTGTGTTCACTTAACTTCACACATCCTTGTGTTCCAGAGTGAGGAACTCAGTGTTTTACTTTAACCTGAGTGTCTTTGTCCCAGAAAACACAAAAGCTGAAGTGACAGTCATTCGTTTCTCCAGGGAATGCTCCAACATTCCTTCCCTTTTTTCCACGTTAAGGACTTAACATTTCAGTTTCCTGATGTCAGGAAAACAATAATACACGTCTGCTGCTCTGCTTTCTGACGTGGATACCAACAGCAGGATGGTTTTTGGGAGCTGCAAGAGGATTTTTTTGGGGGGCTGAGCACTTTCTCTCTGTACCAGTCGGAGTTTCTGGAGTGGAGCTGGTGCCTGATATTTGCTGTTGGATTCAGTTAAACCCTCTTGGCTCAGCCTGCAGCTGGGCAGGAGGGGACGTGGCTCTGCAGGAAAATGAGGGCATTTTCCATCCTCACCACTGGCATCCTTAGGAGGAATTAAATGTGTTTTCTCTCAGCTCCACTGGGTTAAGTTTTGAAGAGCGTTGCTTCGTCCCAAAATCTCACCCTTCTGCTGGGAGCAAACCAAGCTGGAGATGCTGCCAAAGCATTTTACAGAAAAATGATCTATTTTTTTTAACTGCAGGACTTCCCAACCCAACCTGGTGACTTAGTGGGTGACAACATGGGCAGAAATCAGAGGTGTTCGGATAAGTGGAAATGCTGTGCAGAAATCATGGAATGGCTCAGGTTGGGAGGGACCTCAAAGATCATCCAGTTCCACCCAGGCCAGGTTGGAGGGGGCTTGGAGCAACCTGGGCTAGTGGAAGGTGTCCCTGCCCAGGGCAAGGGGTAGAACTGGATGATCTTTAAGGTCCCTTCCAACCCAAACCATTCCATGAGTCCGTGTCCCCCTCAGTAACGGTGTTCCCCAACATTCCATGCACTCCATGTCCTCTGTGAGGACATTTGGAGTCATTGATGTCCTCCTGGAAAACAGAGGCTGTTTGTAGCCCTGGGCATTGTTGACTTTTCATTTTTATTACTTGACTGGAGCTTCTACCTGTGGCTTTCCTCGGGATACACCCAGGGGAGGCTTTCAATTAAAAGTCCCGTGTAGTGAGCAGGCATTTTACACCCACAAGTAGCCTGGAATCACGAAATAAATAAAAACAGCAATGCAGTTCCTGGCCTGCATTTTATTTACTCTCTGCCTTTCAGTTGGAACAAGGAAAATCAATAAAACCAGCCTTTCATTTTGTTTCCGCGTTCCTTGTCGCAGCCCTGGGATTCAGGTGCTGCCCTGGAAGGGTTTTATATTTTGGAATTAATGCTGAAAAGGCAAATAGAAGAGATTTTTGGTTTGGGGTTGTAAAGAAACGCCTTTAATGGCAAATTTAAATTTTGGCTTCGCTTGAAATTCTCTTTTTTTTTTTTTTTTCCCCCCCTGAATTACACAAATAATGTTTTTTGTGTAATGGTTCTTGGCTTAAAGTCTTTT